CGCAGGGTCTGGACTCGCTGCTGTGCGCTGTCGATCTTAGCCTGCTGCTGCTTCACGTCGGCATCTACGCCAGTGTCGCTTGGCGGCGCTTGCACTGGTCGCAATGGTAGTGGTGGGGGTGGTGACAATGGCGGTGAGGATGGCCGTGGCGATGGTGATCGTGGTGATGAGCAAGCTCAGTGTGCTCATCACACAAAAGACCACATGCACACACAGGCGCACACTTGTCGACGCATGCACACACAGGCGCACACTTGTCAACGCATGCACACCCAGGCGCACAGCCACATTACAGCCACAGAGTCATTCGCACCGAGTGATTGCAGTTTCTGCACTTCGGTTTCCAGTTCGATGTTAATGTCTACAGGAGCACCACTGCACCTGTGTCGCAGTGTGTGTGTGTGTGTGTGTGTGTGTGTGTGTGTGTGTGTGTGTGTGTGTGTGTGTGTGTGTCAGGGTGAACGTTGTACGATCTTCATGTACATGCGGTGCTCACGCGTGAACATGTGCAGTGTCCCCTCACCTTGGGCAGTGATGGTCGTCAGGAAGGTTGTCTGGATCAAGGCGGAGGCAGTGTACGTGTTGCCACGTCTACACACTCACCCAAAAAAAAAAAAAACCATGCAAACACACACACACGCACGCACACATACGCATACGTGAGCGCACGAACCAGTTGCGGTATGTCATGGACGGCGTCAATGAGAACGACAAGCACTGCCCTGTGACGCGCAACCACCCCCCTCCCCTATTCAACACAAATGCACACACGCGCACGCAATTGTGTTTGGGGAACGCACTTTGCACTGGGAGCACTGCAGCATCTGTCCTTCCTCCGTGTGCACGCGGCACACGCATCTGTACAGATGCACAGACACCAGCGGGAGAAATGCACGAGCATACATACCGAGGTGTGATTTGAGGTGAGTGAACCTGCGTGGATTTGCAGGCGTGGATCTTCACGATCACAAACCAACCAAACCACGCAAACGAGCAAAACGAAGCAGCAGCAAGCAAACCAAGACAAGTAAACACGACAACAACAACGAAAAACAAACAACAGCAGGACCTGGTAATTTCGTCATCAGGAAGCATTCGCGCAAGGATCGTCTGGTAGTGGGCGGTGTTGGTCCCAATCGCATCGCGCCGCGCAGCCTGGTGGTGGTGGTGGTGGTGGTCAACGTGGTGGTGGTGGTAAACGTGGTGGTGGTGGTGGTCAACGTGGTGGTGGTCAACGTGGTGGTGGTGGTGGTGGTGGATGTGGTGGTGGTGGTGGTGGATGTGGTGGTGGTGGTGGTCAACGTGGTGGTCGTGGTGGTCAACGTGGTGGTGGTGGTGGTCAACGTGGTGGTGGTGGTGGTAAACGTGGTGGTGGTGGTGGTGGATGTGGTGGTGGTGGTGGTAAACGTGGTCGTGGTGGTGGTCAACGTGGTCGTGGTCGTGGTGGATGTGTGAGTGCGCGTTTCATACACTCGTTTTGCTGTGCCATCACGCATGTTCTCAAGCACCAAGCACACGCACGCATTCTTGTGCCCTGACCTTGACTGCATCGTAGTAGTGCTGTTTCCAACGCAGCAGAGAATACTCCTCCATCTTCAATGCACACGTGTGTCGCTCAGAGCCTGTTGACAAACAGTTTACCAGCAGTTGCAGACAACATGTCAGCAAGAGCTACAGCAATGTGCCAAGCACACAGAAGGCGTGCGCGCGTTTGTGTTTGTGTGTGTGTGTGTGTGTGTGTGTGATCGTGTGTATGTACAATATGTGTGATCGTGTGTATGTGCAATGTGTGTGATCGTGTGTGTGCAATGTGTGTGATCGTGTGCATATGCGCGATGCGTGTGTGTATGTGCAATGTGTGTGATCGTGCGTGTGTGCAATGTGTGTGATCGTGTGTATGTGCAATGTGTGTATGGCACACCTGGCTGGCTGACGAGTTTCGCGTTTTTCCAAACGAGTGAAATGTCCGCAATGAACGGCGCCGGCGCTGCAGTCGTTCACAGTGCAGCCGATTCATACATGAGAATCGGTATGATCACACGTGCATGTACACAACATGCACACCAGAAGCATACACCACGTACACAAGCACGCACCACGTACACGAGCACACATACCACCAATGCAATGCCTCGCCCCCTCCCCCTTCGCCTCACATCCGTAGGCGCCGGATCTGACGTCGTGCTGGATGGACGACAAGCAGATGGGGCGGGACACCACCTGACACACGCACACGCACACGCACACACACACACGCACACGGTGTTCAAGGAGTATCAGCAAAAAGAAGTTGGGGCTGGTGTTGTACCCGATGTCATACACACCAAGAGACAGCGCACACATACATTTGCAGCGATAAGTACACACATACACACAAACACACATACACACTGACACACATACACACATACGGAGGCAAGCGTTCAGTTGATGGTGTGTGTCACACCTTGTAGTATCGCGGGTAGCGGTGTGGCGCGGGCAAGTTGACAAACGGTTGCGCAAGTTTCCGGCCAGACTTGGGGTCACGATGGTTCATAACTTCCTTCAGAAAGCTGTCCAGAACAACAGCCATGTGTGCGCGTATGTCCAGCTGCCACTCTTCGCTGATGCCCGTCGTTTTCCGCGCCGCTGTACTGCGGACGCTCCCGCCTGCAGACGAAGGATGGAAGGGTGTGCGCATGTGTAGATGTGTTGGGCGGGTTGTGTGTGTATACGCGTGTATACGTGTGTGTGTACGTGTGTGGACGCGTGTGTACGTGTGTGTACGTGTGTGTGGACGTGTATACGTGTGGACGTTCATGAGTGGCAATGCCAGTGCGAAGCACTGTTGTGTCCTTTCAGCGCGATATAGGTGCATGTGCGCATGTGTGTGCACACACCAGCGCTGGCGCCGCGCAGCTGTCGGAATTTCGCCTGAAACGCAGAGATGAATTCGTTTCGTCGTTCGCTCACGGCGGCCTTGATGTCTCCCTCCATCGAACGCATGGTGTGCGCCTGCTGAAGCTGTACAAGCCGTGCGTGTGTTGTGTGTGAGAGAGAGAGAGAGTGTGTGTGTGTGTGTGTGTGTGATAGTGTGTGCCGTGTGTTGTGTGTTGTGTGTGTGTTGTGTGTTGTGTGTGTGTGTGTTGTGTGTTGTGTGTGTGAACGTGCGTGTTTTTGTTTGTGTGTGTGTGTGTGTGCTGTGTTGTGCAAGCGTGATGACAAAGACAGTGACAAGGCGTTTTGATGTGAGGGGAACCAAACCACCACTGTCGTTGCCACGTTGTTTGCATACATGCAAGCAAAGCGTGTGATGCTTTTCTAACCAGGTTGAAGTTTCTAAGGAGAAACACGCGGCGGTCGCGGGCGATGCGCTGCGTCTTCTTGAGCAGCGGCGAAAACTCGGCACACATGTCCTCCCCCTGAACACACGCCCACACATAAGACACGCATACACATGTCATATACACACAGTAACAAACATGTACACACATTCACAAATACACATACACATGGACAAGCATGCACGTGTAATCGTGCGTGAGATGGGATAACGTGACATCTGTCTCGCAAACGATTTCCAGTTGTGCACGACAGCAACCTCACGGTACATTGCATGGCACGCACGCACACGTGCTCGCGACAGATACGGCAGGTGCACTCATGCCACATGCAAGCGATTGCGCAATTACACACACGCACACACACACACACTGGCACGCATGCACCTTCACCCTGCGCCACAAGAAGTCGTTGAACAGCTCAGCGCCCTCTGTGCTCTTCTGAATCCGCTGCTTGCGTGACAGGTGTGCGTGTGTGTGCGCGCGTGTTCGCGCTGCGAGTGTTTCATTTGAAGTTCGCGGCCGGATTTCTCCCCGGCAGTTGGCGGCGCCGCACCGGCACACCTGTGTGTGTGTGTGTGTGTGTGTGTGTGTGTGTGTGTGTGTGTGTGTGTGTGTGTGTGTGTGTGTGTGTGTGTGTGTGTGTGTGTGTGTGTTTGTGTTTGTGTGTTTGTGTGTGTGTGTGTGTATGTATGTTTGTTTGTTTGTTTGTTTGTTTAGTGTTTGTGTGTGTTTGTGTTTGTGTTTATTTATTTGTTCGTTTGTTTGTGAGTGTGTGTGCTTGCAATTAAGGTGACGAGCACTCAACAAGCGGTCAGCGGCAATGCAATGCAACACACGCCATCATCTGCACGCACACACACGCACGCATGCACGCATGCACACACACACGCACGCACCAGCTTCTCGTTGAAGTTGTGGAAGTTGTAGTCGTAGCTGAGCTCCTCGTCGCCCTTGATGTCGCGCGACGCAAACACGCCCGCACGCCAGTGGCCTGAGGGGTCATCATCGTGGCCAAGTGGTGATCGCAGTTGTAGCGGCGGTGGTGTGGTGGTTGAGATGCGTGTGGATTGGTGAGGAAGGTTGAATTGATTGTTGTTACAAAACAGCTTCACCGCAAACGACAAATTCAACCGAACACACACACATAAACCGACACACACACACACACATTATCACAGCCACGCACAAACACACCCCACATACACTCACAACCACACACACACACACATGAACCCGCATCCACTCACACACTACCACAGCCACACGCACGCACACATAAACTCACATACACTCACTCACTCACAACCCCCCCCCCACACACACACACACACCGTTGACGTTCCACTTCTCGATGTGGCAGTTGGGGTCGCAGCTGTGGTTGATGAAGCGCGCCTCGCTACCAGCCTGCCCAGCGTCAATCACAAGGCCTCGGTCAAGGTTCAGGCAGTGGAAGTGTTTCCGCGCCTGGTATGGGTGGAGGGGAGGGTGGTGGTGGTGGTGGTGGTGGTTGAAGACGACAGTCGTCGTCGTGGTGAGAATCGTGGCGATGTTCATTGGAAGGGTGAAAATACAGCAACCGACGAAGAGGGAGGACAGACAGAAACACACGCACGCACAGACAGTGTGTGTGTGTGTGTGCGTGTGTTCGATGCAGTCAAATAACAGAGCAAGGAGGTTGCGCGTGCCGTTACCCTGTAGAGGGTGTTTGCGCGTTGCGTAAATGCGCTGCTCGTCATAATCTCTCCCGTGTACTCAATAACAAACGTGCCCTGAAGCGTGACCACGACGATGCAGATGACAGATGGCAAACACATGCAATCATTGGTGATGATGAGTGGTTGGCGGACGAATGGCGCGTGTGCGAGCGCCAGAACCTGAATCGGTACACAAACGCCAACAACAACGACATCCACCACCTTCCCTGAGATGCTCCCCTCGTAAACACACACACACACGTTCACGCACCTTTGGGATGTATGCCGTTGCGAAGACGCCGTATCCTTTTCCTGGAGTCGGTGCACGTTTAATGGCTGTGCACCACGCGCGCTGCTGGAACCTTCGAGGCAGTGGCGGGCAAGAATGCATCGTGATGGCATGCGGCAGCACGCGGTGAGCAACAACTGTGTGCGTTTGTGCTTGTGTGTGCATGTGTGACTCGGCCCATGCAAGCAAGCAGGCACACAGACATACACACACAGACATACACACACAGACACACACACAGCGTGAACCGTAGCACAAAACACGGTGCCATCGTCGTGCGTGTACCGCTTGTTTGTGCACTGCCGTCCACAGGGGCAGTCTGGCCCGCACTCGGAATACCTGAACAAGCACCGTGCAGAGCAACGCGTCAAATGGTGGGAGGCGAGGAAGAGGGTGGGGATGGCCAGCACGAGGAATCACGCGCTGAAGTTGTGCAAATCAATGTACACACACACACGCGTACGCAAAATAAACACACACACACACACAACACAACACAACGACACAACACAACACAACAACACAACAACACAACACACAACCACACACGACCACACACAACACAACCACACACAACACGCTTGTACATGGCTTTGCGCACATGAGTCTGTTGAGGCAATCGTGCGTGCAGCCTGGGCCGCCATCAGGGGGTGGAATGCATTCGCATCTGCTCACTTCTTGCCGGTGCTGTTCTCGGGGTAGATACAAAAGGGTGCATGAGCTGTGATGATCAACAAAAGTGCTGCTGCTGATATGCACACACCACCCACACTGGCTTACGCACGAGCACGTACGCACTCACACACACTTACTCACACACTCACACACTCACTCACTCACTCACTCACTCACTCACACACACACACACATTCACTCACTCACTCCCTCACTCACTCTCTCATTCACTCACAAACATGCACACGCAAGCATGCAAGGGCGCACCTTTGCCATAAACTGCTCTGTTTCCTTGTCAACAAAGACATTGACGCGGATCTTGCGAAAGGGTGCACAGGCCTCCTCCGTAATTGCCAGCGTCCCTTGCCGGCTCGCTTGCACATACGACGCGGGAAGCCGAAACGGCTCCGGCCTGGGCATGATGTGTGTGTGTGTGCGTTGCGTGTGGGTGTGGGTGTGGGTGTGAGTGTGTGTGTGTGTGTGTGTGTGTGTGTGTGTGTGTGTGTGTGGGTGGGTGTGGGTGTGGGTGTGGGTGCATGGAAAGTGAGAAGCACAGCCTAATCAAACACACTCACGGCCACATACACACACACAGTTGTCATGTTCACACGCCGCACACAACGCACTGGCAGAGGAGGTTGAGGCCATTGTAGATGGGGAGTGGCAGTCCCCTGCACACGTAGTCATCGCGGCCTTTGAAGTTGGTGCGCTCTGGCCTGAGTGGAGGCGGATTAGCACGCTGACGTGAAGCGGTGCAGGGTGGTGGGCAACAGCACGATCGTGTGAGCACACGGAATGTCTAACGCCACTGAGAAAGCAACTGCAGGGGCGTTAAGCTGGGCAGGCAGCAAGCACCATCACACCACACACACACACACACCATCACGCCATCTCATGATTGCACGCAAACCTACCTTAAAGGTGTACGAATAGACGCCCGCTTGCAAGTACAGCTTCTCCTCTGCTTTGGCGGCCTCATCTGCTTCATCTGCCTGATCTGCCTGATCTCCTTGTTTGGCGCCATCCTGCGTCGCTTCAGAAGTAGACGCTGCTTGGTTCGTGGAATCGCCCACAGCTTCGCTGTCGGCGCCAACCTTGCTGCCGTCCCCCGCAAGCTCCTTGTTGGGCTCCTTGCTGGCTGCGGTGGAGCTGCTCGTCTTGCGTGGCTGCTTCCGCTGGCGCTTTGGCGCGCTGCGTCGCCGTTTGGCAGTGGTGGGCGTGTGAGATCCAGCTTCTGATTCTGACGTGTTGGAAGCGGCGGTGGCGGTAGTCTGATCTGCACTCGGAGCTTGGGACGATGCTATCGCTGACGAGGAAGCCTCGCCTGCGGCTGAGGATGCCGTCACCGCCGTCACCGCCGTCACCGCCGCGCTGTCCAGTTTGCTGCGCTTCATCGCCTGCTCCGAGATGGGCTGATCCTTTGCTGCTGCCTGATCCTTTGCTGCTGCCTCCTCTACTTCGGCCGTGTCTTTTGCTTCTGGTGTCCCGGCGTCTGCGCACGTTGCAACCCCTCCTTGCTCTTGTCTGCCCCTCCTCCCTCGCCTGCTCCCCTGCTGCTGCTTCTGCTGTGCCTGCTTCAGCTGCTTGGGTTGCGCCGTGCTGCCACTGGCGCCACTGCCACGACCACCAGCCGTCATCTTGCGACATGACAAAGTGCAGCTGCGATTGCGGTTGTTGACGATTGGGGACGCTGTCAACGAAATTTCCCTTTCGCCCAGATTTTGCCTCTGTCCACTCATCCAATACCAACAAGCAACTGCCAGCACAGCAGCCACCACCCCAAGACAACAGCCAGCCAGCGCTATTCGCTCAAAGTCTGCTTGTTGTCGCCAACACAGCATTCGATTGGACGCTGCACCACTCTATCTTTGGACGAGGCACTGCACAGCCAGTTCTTGAGTGGCTTGTAGTTGTTTAAGCTTCCTTTTCCTTTCCATCCCGTTCATTCATCACTCCACCTCATCCACTGAAACACCAACACAACCATGGTGAGGAGTAAAGGATGGTTGGACTTGTGTGAGAGTGCGTTTGTGTTTGAGTCTGTACATGTGTGTGTGTGTGTGCTTGTGTGTCTGTCTGTCTGTCTGTCTGTCTGTCTCCGTGTGTGTCTGTGACTCTGTACGCTTATCATGTTCATGCATTTGACCCGACATGCAAGTGCACGAGCACACAAATCTCGCCTTGTTTCGCTCACGAATTGTTGGTGTTTGGTTTGTGGCAGCCGCTTCGATTGGACATCAAGCAGCAGCTCAACGCTCGCAGCGACCGAGTGAAATGCGTGGACATGCACCCCAGCGAGCCCTGGATGCTTGCCGCCCTTTACAGCGGTGAGCTTTCACCCACGCGTGCATTCCTCCCCCCCCCCCTTTTTTTGCAGCTTTTGCTTTATCAGCTTGCGGCATGTGCAATGACAAGCATGTCGTGCACCGCCCCACCCCTACCGTGCACCGCACTTTGCCAACACCCCACGCACCACATGCGCAACACACACTCCACACACACACACACACACACACCAGTACTGACGCACGCATGCACATTCAACCAACCCTCTCGCGCAGGTGTGGTGAACATCTGGAACTACGAGTCCAACACCATGATCAAGACGTTTGAAGTGTCTGATGTGCCGGTGCGCGCCGCGCGGTTCATTGAGCGCAAGAACTGGATTGTCACGGGCTCGGACGACATGAAGATCCGCGTGTTCAACTACAACACGCTGGACAAGGTGCACACGTTTGAGGCGCACACGGACTACATCCGCTGCCTCGCAGTGCACCCGAGCCAGCCGTACGTGCTGAGCTGCAGCGATGACATGACCATCCGCATGTGGGACTGGGAGCAAGACTGGATGTGCCGCCAGGTGTTTGAGGGCCACAGCCACTACGTCATGGACGTCGTCTTCAACCCAAAGGACGTCAACACCTTTGCCTCATGCTCCTTGGACCGCACCATCAAGGTCTGTGTGTGTGTGTGTGTGAAGGCGTTTTCCTGGGTTGAAGAATTGACGTGAATCCGTGCCATCTTCCCTGTCAAGTCACACTTTTCGGCTGTGTGCGTGCTGTGGTTCCTGATGATGGTGACAGGTGTGGCAGCTCGGCGCATCCAGCCCCAACTTTACGCTCCAAGGCCACGAGAAGGGCGTCAACTGTGTCTCCTATTTCTCGGTACGACTGGCACGCTGCTGCCTTCGTGGTGTGTGTGTGTGTGTGTGTGTGTGTGTGTGTGTGTGTGTGTGTGTGTGTGTGTGTGTGGCATGTACGCTGGAGCTTGCGTTCAAGCCGTCCCCCATCCATCCACCCGACCGTCTGCTCACCAACCAACCACCATGCATTTGGTCCATGTGTTCATGCGTGCGCGTACGCCACCTCAGGGCGGTGACAAGCCGTATCTCGTCTCGGGCGCCGACGACCGCCTCGTCAAGATCTGGGACTACCAGAGCAAGGCCTGCGTTCAGGTCTGCCCCAGTCACTTCTCTTTTCTTCCGTTGTTGTTGTTGTTGTTGTTGTTGTTGTTGTTGTTGTTGTTGTTGTTGTTGTTGTTGTTGTTGTTGTTGTTGTTGTTGTTGCTGTTGTTGTTGCTGTGTTGGGAGTTGTTGTGTTGGGAGTTGTTTTGATTGTGCTTTCCCCTCTCGCTGTGTGTTTGTGATTAGTTGGAGTGATACTGTCGTACCCCTTCACACTTCCTCACACTCACGCATAATCACACGCACGATCACGCACGATCACGCACGATCACACACGATCACATGATCACGCAGACACTTGAGGGCCATACGCAGAATGTGTGTGCTGTTGTGTTCCACCCTGAGCTGCCCATCATTCTCAGTGGATCCGAGGACGGCACCGTCCGCGTCTGGCACGCAAACACATACAAGTGCGCGCCCACGCACGCACATTCACACGAACACATGCACACACTGTCTCTTTGATTTACTGTGCTGGTGGCTGTTTGATTTGGAGTGCTTGTACATGCTGTGACACGTGTACGTGCATCAAGCATATGCTCACATGTCCCGCCCATGGTGGTGCTGTGTTGCTGCAGCCTGGAGAGCAAGCTCGCATACAACATGGAGCGCGTGTGGTCGATGGCCACGCTGCCCGGCAGCAACAGTGTCGCCATCGGCTACGACGAGGGCTGCATCATGATCAAGGTGCTCACACCAGCCCATCACGCGTGCTCGTGTGTATGTGTGTGAGTGTGTGGGTGGGTGGGTCTGTGTGTGTGTGTGTGTGTGTGTGTGTGTGTGCGTGCGTGGGTGTGGGTGGGTGGTTGCACACGCGCACATGTTTCGTCCCATGTGCATGTACGTGCGTGTTTACGCTTTCCATTGTTCGGCACTGCATTTGTCTCACAACGCATTTGTTGTTGTTGTTGTTGTGTTTGCGTTACGCTCGTCAGCTTGGGCGGGAGCGTCCTGCGATGAGCATGGACAGCAACGGAAAGGTTGTTATGGCCAGACACAACGACGTCCAGCAGGCAATCGTCACAAAGGTCAGACACCCGTCCGTACTCGTGCGTGTGTCTGTCTGTCTGTTTGTTTGTTTGTTTGTATGTATGTATGTCTGTCTGTGTGCGCGTGTCTGTGTCTGTGTCTGTTTCTTTATCTGTCTGCTCCCTGTGAGAGCGGCGGCAGTGACGAATGCATTGCCCTAACTCGGCCACCACCACCACCACCACTCGTGTGCAGGTTGAGGGCGAGCTGGTGGACGGCGAGGCGATGCAGCTGTCCACAAAAGATCTCGGCGCATGCGAAATCTACCCACAGTCCATGCAGCACAACCCCAACGGCCGGTACGCACGCACAACGCCTGTGTGTCTGTGTGTCTGTGTGTCTGTACATACGCATGTGTCTGTGGGTGACGTTCTCTTCAAGTGCGTTGCTAATTTCGCGGCAAGACATTTCAGCTGACATTGATTGATTGCATCTTGCTGTGCAGGTTTGTCGTTGTGTGCGGCGACGGGGAGTACATCATCCACACTGCCCTCAGCTTCCGCAACAAGGCATTTGGCCAGGCCCTCGACTTTGTCTGGTCCGCCGACTCGTCAGAATACGCCGTGAGTTGCCCACACCCGCTGCTTTTGCTTGAGAAGAAGGGGGGCTGTAAGCATACGTGCCTGTGCATATGTGTCTGCGTGAGATTGCACGCGTGCCTACCCCTGCCAATTTCCCTGTCGACTTGGTTGTGGCCTTCCCCATCCCCTGCCTGCTCAGTTCTCCTCCCTCTTTCCTCACTGCCCCATCGCGCTTTGCTTGCTTTGCATATACAGGTGCGAGAGTCGTCCACGGCCATCAAGACCTTCAAGAACTTCAAGGAAAAGCACGCCATCCGTCCAGACTTTTACGCCGAAGGTCAGCCCGTGACGGTGATGATGATGATGATGATGATGATGATGATGATGATGATGATGATGATGATGATGATGATGATGATGATGAAGTTCTTGTGGCTTGACAATGACGTGCGATTGTGCCGCATGCAGCCGTGCACCTCATTTACTTGCATGCATGCATGTATGCACGCTCGTGCTTACGCTGCACTGTTGTCCTCTGCACATGTGTGTATGCGTGTTCGTGGTTCAGGCATCTTTGGCGGTGTTCTGCTCGGCGTGAAGGGCGCCGGTACGCTCTCCTTCTTCAACTGGGACTCCCAAGAGCTCGTGCGCCGCATCGACATCGCCTGCCAGGTTCGCATGTGTGTGGGTGTGGGTGTGCGTGTGCGTGTGTGCGTGTGTGTGTGTGTGACTGTCAGCGTGCCTCTTCATGTGTGGATATGCGTCTGTCTATGTTGGCCCTTGCACCGATGCCATGCTGCTCATCTATTGATCCACTCTCTTTTTCCTTACGATCCCGCGTCCCCTTCCCTCAATAGGATGTGTTCTGGTCTGACGACGCGGAGTACGTGCTTGTGTCGACTGCTGAGGAGGGCTGCTTTGTGCTCAAGTACAACAGCAGCGCCGTCACTGCCGCTGTCGCCGCCGGTGAACCCATCCCCGACGACGGCATCGAGGACGCTTTCGAGGTCTGCACATGGCTCTTTGTCTGTGTCTGTGTCTGTGTCTGTCTGTCTGCTCGTGGTGCCCATGCGCGACCCACGTCTTCTCCTCCACCGCCACCTCATCCTCGCTGCGGTGGACTGCAGGTTGTTGATGAGCTTGATGACGATGTGAAGACGGGCACATGGGTCGGCAGCTGCTTCATCTACACCAACCAGGGCAACCGCCTCAACTACTACGTCGGCGGCGAGATCGTCACCGTCGCCCACCTCGACAGGTGTGAACGTGTGTGTCTGTGTGTGTGTGTGTGTCTGTGTGTGTGTCTGTGTGTGTGTCGTGGTTGTCAGATCACTTCGCATCACTTTTCATTGTGCCGCGTCGTGGCTGTTATATCTTGTCCGATTGCCCTCTTTGAGCGTCGCGCGTGAATTTGCTCCCTTGACGTCCCCCCCCCCCCATCCACCTTTCGTGCATCTCGTTGTACGAGTCACACGCATTTGCTCATCGACTCACCGACCACGCACCTCTCCCGACAACCCGTTGCCTCCCATCTCCACGTCTCGAACTGCCTGCGCTGCTGCAGGGCGATGTATGTGCTCGGGTACCTTGCGTCGACGGGGCGCGTGTACCTCGGCGACAAGGAGCTGAACATTGTGTCGTACAACCTGCCGCTCGCTGTGCTGGAGTACCAGACGGCGGTGATGCAGGGCGACCTCGACACTGCGGATGAGGTCATGCCGTCCATCCCGGCAGACCAGCGCAACCGCGTCGCACACTTTCTCGAGAAGCAGGGGTACAAGCAGCAGGCGCTGGTGGTGTCGATGGACCCAGACCACCGCTTTGAGCTCGCCCTCAGCCTGCACAAGCTCCTGGTTGCCCGCGACATTGCACAGGAGCTGGCGTCCCCGCAGAAATGGAAGCTCCTCGCAGAGGTTAGACCATGACACCCAATAATGGTGTGGTGGTGTTGGGTCGTGGTGGTTCATGTTGGTGGTGTGAAGCTGCTTCGTGTTGGCTTGGTGTGCTCACGCACACTCACACAAACATTTATGCACGCATTCATTCACACACACACACACACACACACACACTCACGCTCACGAACACTACACACTCCCGCATGCACTTGAACGCGAATGCTTGCCATTGACTTGGCACAGGCTGCCATGAAGAAGAGCATGTTTGACCTTGCGGAGGAGTGCCTTGCGCACGCCAACGACTTTAGCGGGCAGCTGCTGCTGTACACTGCGTCTGGCAAAGCGGACAAGATGGCCACCCTCGCCGACGATGCCGCGCGCGCCGGCCGCAACAACATTGCCTTTGTGTCGCTGTTCCTGCAGGGCCGCCTGAAGGAGTGCGTTGACCTGCTTGTCGAGAGCGACCGCGTGTCGGAGGCGGCGCTGTTTGCCCGCTCGTATCTCCCCAGCATGGTCCCAGAGGTCGTCGCAAAGTGGAAGGCCTCTCTTGAGGAGGTGCGTTGGCGCAGCCAGCGGTTTGTGTCTGTCTGCGCATGTGTGTGTGTGTGTGTCTGTGTCTGTGTGTGTGTGCCTGTCTGTCTGTCTGTCTGTCTGTCTGTCTGTCTGTTTGTGTGTGGTTGTGTCGTGTGTCGTATGTGTGCGGTGTCCTGTGAGTCTGCCTGTCCTCGCTCGATTGCCCGTCATTCCAACACAACAATCACTCGCTTGTGCTCGTGCGCTCACGTTCTCGCCCTCTCCCCGTTCCTCGTCCTTTGCCTTTCATCAGAAGCGGCCCAAGCTTGCGCAGTCGCTGGCGGACCCGACTGAGTACGCCAACCTCTTCCCCGACTTCGAGGACACGCTTGCTCTCGAGGAGAAGCTCAAGTCAGTGCACTGTTGTGGTTGCAGCCCTTGCGCTCGTGATGTCGTGGACTGGAGTCACTGTTTGGTGGACTGTGCGAAGCATGATGAGAACAGTGGCGAATGATGCGTGTGCATCAACTTGCATCTGGCCGTATTCCCAATCCACCACGCTCACTCACTGAACACACACGTACGCGCACACGCAAATATGCACACATGCACCTGTGCTCAGGGCGATGAATGTGCACAACCAGCCGGCCAAGTCTGCTGCTGCACACCTTGCCGCGCGTGCTTCTGCTCCGCTCAAGGAGCGTCTCGCTTCCACACAGCCATCCGGTGAGCAGGCATTATCGTGCATGTGTACGCTGGTCTTGTTTTGTGTGTGTGTGCGTGTGTGTGTGTGTGTGCGTGTGTCCACCTGTGTGTGTGTGTGTGTGTGCGTGTGTCCACCTGTGTGTGTGTGTGTGTGCGTGTGTCCACCTGTGTGTGTGTGTGTGCGTGTGTCCACCTGTGTGTGTGTGTGTGTGCGTGTGTGTGTGCACCTGTGTGTGTGTGCACCTGTGTGTGCATGCACGTGTGTACGTCTTGTTTGTCTGTGTGCGGCTCCTTCCACCTTTCCACGCCCTCTGTCCATGCTATTGGGCCGTGCACGCACGTTCCGCACAGCTCACACCCTTCCCTCCCCCGCCCCCCAAACAACAACAAAAACCTGTGTCGACCTCAGCCACAGGGTCAACCTCTGAGCCGCCAGCCGACAAGACCACGGCGGCGCCACCCGCGACCGTGGTGGCTGACGAGGGCGAGCCGGATGAGGCATCAGAGCCCGAGATGGGCGAGGAGGACGAACAACAAGAGCAAGAGGAGCAAGAGGAGCAGAAAGAGGAGCAAGAAGAGGAGGAGATGACGGCGCCCGAGGTTACACAGGAGGCAGCAGCGCCGGCGGTGGAGGAGAAACAGGCAGCGGAGGAGGAAGAGAGCAAACCGCCCGCCACAGCCGCAAATGATGATGATGACGATGACGACTTTGATCTTGACGACGACGATCTTGATCTTGGTGATGTCGACCCAAGCCTCGCAGACGACCTGGTAAGCAGTGTGTTGGGGGGATGGTGTGCATGGGTGAGGGTGGGGGTGTTGGTTGTGTGTGTGTGTGATGTGTGTGTGTGTGTGTGTGTGTGTGTGTGTGTGTGTGTGTGTTTGAATGT